AACTGTGCTCGCTCACGCGACCCCGGTGCCGTTGGGGACCGGAGTCGCGGGACACGTGCGTGACACGCCGCAGGTCCCACCTCCTTCCGAATCGGATGAGAGATGGTTGGACGCGCTCTGCACAGACACGGGTGATCTGTCTCATTCGCAGCGAATTAAATTGCGCGCTCTTCTGCGAGAATTTTCCGATGTCTTTAGTAAATCTAAATTTGATATTGGCTGCACCAAGCTGCTGCGTCACCACATTGATACTGGTGACGCTGCCCCGATTCGACAAAACCCGTTTCGGCTTAGCCCGGCGGAGAAACAGCATGTTAAATCGGCTGTGGATGACATGCTGAAGGCCGATATAATTTCTCCCTCCACTAGTCCCTGGGGTGCTCCAATAGTGCTGGTCAAAAAGCACGATGGCAGTCTCCGTTTTTACGTTGATTTTCGGCGCCTAAATAAAATCTCGGTAGCGGACGCCTACCCTCTCCCTCGTATGGACGAGTCATTGGATGCCCTGGCAGGGGCGCACTATTTCTCCACCTTGGACCTTCTGTCGGGGTTTTGGCAACTCCCCCTCGACGAATCGTCAAAACCTAAGACTGCTTTTCGGACACCACAGGGCCTTTTCGAGTTTAATAGATTGCCCATGGGTCTCCACTCGGCCCCAGCGACGTTCCAGAGGCTCATGGAGCTGGTCCTCGCTGGGCTCCAGTGGGACTCATGTCTCATTTATCTTGACGACGTCATCGTCTTTAGCCGCACGTTCGGCGAACACATCGAACGGTTGCGTGCTGTCTTCTTGAAAATGCGGGCCGCTAACTTGAAATTCAAGCCGCAGAAGTGTCACCTTCTGCGTGAGTCTGTGCGCTATCTGGGCCACATAGTTAGCCGCTCGGGCATCTCTACCGACCCTGAAAAAACCAAATGTGTTCAACATTGGCCGACCCCTACATCTGCGGGCGATGTTCGTAGTTTTATTGGTTTTGCGTCGTACTACCGCCGGTTTGTTGCTGGCTTCGCGACGATTGCCAAGCCGCTCCACGCCCTTACGTCAAAAGGGGTGGCGTTTCATTGGGGGGACGCAGAACAGGCTGCGTTCGACTCCTTGCGGAACGCGCTCGTGACGGCACCGTCCCTTGCGTACCCCGATTTTTCCGTGCCATTCGTGTTGGACACCGACGCTAGCAATACGGGGATTGGGGGTGTTCTGTCACAAAAAGTTGATGGCATTGAAAGGGTTGTTGCCTATGGTAGCAGAGTCTTGTCTCTTGCTGAACAAAGATACTGTGTGACCAGACGTGAGCTGCTGGCCATTGTTTTTTTTATTCAGCAATACAGGCCGTACCTGTATGGTCAGCATTTTACCGTGCGATCTGATCATTCGGCTTTACAGTACGCTCTGCGGGTTGACCAACCGTCCGGGCAGCTTTCTCGGTGGCTCGAAGTCCTTCAGGACTACGATTTCAATGTCACTTACCGTAGGGGTGCACAACACACGAATGCCGATGCGTTGTCTCGCCTTCCGCCGGCTCAAAAATGTGCGTGTTTTTTGGGCTCGGGCCGTTGTAAGCCGCCACTGCCTGCGCAGGTCGCGCCTCTCACAACGGTGTCAGCCGCACTTCCCGCCGCCTCAGCGCCGATGTTGGATCATGCAGATCCAATGGCCAGTGACGATTTGCTGGGGCTAACTTTGGCCGAATGGGGTCGGCACCAGGGCGAGGACATGTCGTTATTGAGGTTGCGTCGCCTCGCGAATAATGCGGTTCCAAGACAGGGCAAATTTAATTCATTTGTCATGAAGCGCGGCTTGTTGATGCATTGGGATGCTGACTCGTGTCAACATAAAATCGTCGTGCCATCCGCCTTGCGATGCAAGGCCGTATGGGCGGCGCATGAGCGTTTATTGCACCTGGGTGTTCATAAGACCATTGGGTCGTTGCGGTTGCAATTTTTCTGGCCGGGCATGCTGCGCGACGTCACTGACATTTTGCTGGGATGCACCCATTGTGCGCAACGTAAACCGCCGGCTAAACCGGCATGCCCACCCCTGCAACCCATTTCGGTCTCTCGTATAAATGAGTTGGTGGCTCTCGATATTTTGGGCCCTTTTCCTACTACGTCACGGGGTAATAAGTACCTTCTGGTTGGGGTAGAGTATTTTACACGGTGGCCTATGGCCTGGGCCCTCCCCAACCAGTCGGCGGCGGCCGTTGTGGACGCCTTTGTTCAAGGCTACGTCCTGGACAAGGGCGCACCAGAACGGTTGCTGACCGATCAGGGAAGAAATTTTTCAGGAGCCTTGCTGACTGATGTGTGCCGCCTGTTGGGCACTAAGAAAGTGCGCACTTCGCCCTACCATCCCCAGACCGACGGCATGGTGGAGCGCCTTCATAGAACTCTCACCGCTATGTTATGCCATCAGGTCGATGAATCCCACCTCGATTGGGACTTGCAGGTTCCGGGGGTCCTCGCCGCATACCGTATGGCACCTCACGCGGCGACGGGATTTTCCCCGTTCTTTCTAATGTATGGCAGGGATGCCTTTCCTCCCGCCGACGTTCGGCTGGAAATCGAACAGCCACCGCAAAAGTCAAAGCTCGTTGACCACTTGCGATTCAACCTCCGTAAGTTGGCCGAGGCACGGGAGGCCACCATTGAAAATTCGGCTTCCCGCCAACGGGCGAATTTGCGACTGCGGGACCCTCGGTCGTACACGCATCGGTGGGCACCGGGAGACAGGGCATGGCTCCACTGCCCCCAGGTGCCGGTGTCCATGTCGGCCAAACTCCTCAGACCATGGCGAGGCCCGGTTGAGGTAGTGGAAGTCCTGCGTCCCCAATGTGTTAAAATTAGCTGGGGACGGCGTCGCTGGTGCGTTCACCCTTCTCGGTTAAAACCCTTCGTCACGCCACGCGTCCCTCCACAACACACACAACATGGGGGCCGAGTGTGCGACGCGTCCGACGAGCCGGATGTTGCCCCGTTGGTGCCTAACCCACAGCGCAGGCGTGTCATTCCTCCTGCAGATGACACGGGAGTGACGGCTCCATGCAGGCCACGTTCGGCCTCAATGGACCGTGGAGCAGCAGGTGTCCCCGTGGAGATGCCTAAAGGCCCACCGGATGCTCTGGCTCATCCTCCTCCTTCCCTTGTGCCGCCGACAAAGCCTGCCATCCCCTACGATGGCCCCGCGAAACGCACGCGCGCGAAATCTCGCCGGTTGTTATAATGTTTTTTTTGGCATGTCTAGTGCCTTGTACATACGTTATGTTGTTAAGGGGGGTATTTATAGGGGTTTAATTGTTCTTGTTGTTCGTGAGGCACACTCACAATTCTTCTACCATTGGTAATTTCGGAGTTTCCCATTGTTGCAGCCGGGACGGCTGGAGCTTCCGAAGGAGGGGGTGATGTAGAGGTGTTAACTACGCGCTGTTGCGTAACCTGCGTTGCCACCAGGGCGGTGCAGCATTACCCCTGGGTACAACGGTTGGGGTCAGTCGAGGTGAAACGGATCGTGGCCAGGGTTTGGTGCGAACCAATCAGACGGTTCCACGTGGGAATGTATGATTGGTTCTACCTGGCCACGAAGGGGTATAAGACGGGTGACCCAACGGACCTCGAGGAGTTCTCTCCCTGCACGAAGATAGAAGACTGGGCTGAAGCCTAGCTAGGACCCTGGACCAGCCTTTCAGCCCTTCTAAGGGCTAAGGCTCGGCATACCCAGTGGTCAGGACCCACCGGGCCAGCGGTGGGTCAGATAGCCTCCCCTAGGTCCTAGCCGGAGGACTAGGATAGCGGTAGACGTGTGAGTCCCGCCAAGTCCGGAGGTTGTACCTCCTTAGGTATCAAGGAGGTTAGCGGTAGACGATTGAGTCCCGCCAGGTCCGGAGGCTGTACCTCCCTAGGGTATCGGGTGAGGGGACCGAATATCCCTCTGTGTGTGTTAAGCGTTGTATAAGGAAATAATACAATAAACAGAGTGTGCCTCCTAAAGAAGTCTGCTCGTCCTTACAACACTACACTTCTAAGGGCCGGGTCTGTGTGGCTGGTGGTCGCGACCTGTGCCTTGGCTGGGCCAGGTCAGCCTCCCCGAGCGCCCTTAGCGGAGGACCCAGGAGCATAGATAGCTAGGCAGATAGCCTAGGGGTATATCCCAGTGTAATACGGGTGATTGAGGCCGTTACCCCTTCTCAGTGTTGTATATCTTGGCTATTCGTTGTCGAGTTATAATAAATAGTGCTGCCTCTACATCGCCGTCTCTGTCGCTTGTGAACCCACTACACAAGTACAGCAAAGCCATTCCCACTCGCGGGTTTAAGCCATCACGGTTTTGTGACAAATATATAAAGTTCACTGACTGCAAATTAACACGCTTTGATATATACTCTTGGTTATTTCGGTAAAGTCACGTAGAAGGGAAACAATAAAATTGTTTTATATATTTTTTATTGTTTCCTTTCTACATGACTTTACCGAAAGAACCAAGAATATGAATCCCTGCAGTCACGAAAGCTTTAAAGGGGGAGCGGAGCGAACGAAGCAGGCGAGCAGCCCAAGCGGGAAAAACGCGACGGAGTTACGGGGTGTCAAACGCGAGGAGATCTGTTAAATAAAAGTGACACAGGAGAAAAAGAATAAGTTGTCCGCGTGAAATAAAAACACTACAGATATCAGCACTGCTCAACGCGAGCTGTAAGTGCTCTGACACTGGGCATTGTCTTTGCAACGTTCAACTTTTGGCATTGTTCTCTGGTCTGTCACTGATACAGAGACAAGGCCCTTAAGAATGCTGCCGTCTCCTGGTGTAGGCCAATCGGTTTTAAGCACAATGCTTATATTACCAGAGTACCCAAAGAAAAATCAATGCAGTGACCACCATGGGGAGAGACTCCAAATATACAACAGGCATCGTCAGGGTCCGGGATTGAACCCACTGCCTAATAAAAATCAGGCGAGGGAGATAGACGCAGATTCCAAATATACAGCAACCTTGACCTGGAAGCACTTACTCTGAGTCAGTTGCATCGTCACGCATGAGTCTTGCCCTGCTGCACAATAGGTAGATATTTCAGGAATCCCCAAATCAAGACTTCCGGTGTAGCAGTAAAGCAATCCTGCATAATTGCACAAAGACACATATTAGTATTTAAACTCAACCATTTTTTTACCAGGTGTAAGTCCCCACTGAGCTGTTACGTAGTAGCTCTTTTTCACAAGCGACCTGGCCATCACAAATGATAGGAACTCAACGAAGTGACTGATATGCTCACATGGAAATTTACATCAGCCAAATACTCTACACCCATGTTTCTAAATGTGAAGGAAAAAACCGGAGTACCCGGCTTAAAAATCCATGCGACCACCACGGGGGATAGAGAGATGCAAACTCTATGTATAACAGCAGCATGCATCGTCTGGGTCGAACTTCACGAACATCCTGCATACCACGTGAGGTAGTTAACATCTCCACGGGTAGAGAGACACGTGTAGCCGGAATGGGCTTATTGTAACGAATCACACGTATAATTATGGAGTTAATGATGACCATGGATTGGGCCCTTAGACTCACGTGACTGCACAGTACACCACGCCCACCTGTGGAGTAATCAATTCAGGGTACGGAGAATCTATTCAGATTCGGATGGACGCTGCACAGGTAACACATTTACAGCTCTGCTAAAACTGAGTTATATATAACTGTTTAATCAATACAGTTGGACTGTAACTTAGTCCAACCGTTGCGCTAATCGGAGGTGTGGGGGTAGTGTAGTGTATAGTAGCGTCTAGTAGTACATTCTAGTGTATAGCAGTGTCTAGTGTAGTATATAGTCTAGTTAATTGCGGTGTTCTTCAGGAACATGACTACTGCAACACAAGAGAAAATACTATACTAGCTAAATGAACGCAAACGTATAGCCGGGGAGTGGAGTGAAAAACGTCACCTTCGACGCTCATAGCGAGCCAGATGACAGCCACCAGAACATGAATCAGGGTAATGTCCATGCTGCTCCACCTGGCAAAATACAAAAACACGCACCACGGTCATCTGGGCAGCAGCGTCTTTTGGCTAACCATGGAAAAAAGATGGTGGTCACCGCATTATCGCGGCGCTTTCAGATTTGTGCTGCTTCTGCGGCCGTCTGGAACGCTCTTCCGTCCGATATTAGGAAGCCACTGGGAGCCATGCAACTTTTTAAATCATCACCATCTAGGTTGACAATCTTACTTCTTTAGAACTGCTGCTCGTTGTGTTTAGTTTGCTGTTCTTTACCCGCACCTCTGATTAGCTACATATGGTGTTAAAGAAGTTCAAAAGACATATTCACACTACTATACACTACTCCACACTGCACACCTATACGTACTATAATCACCCAGGAATGTCCTTACCTCTCGTGACGTCACTAAAAATCTACCAGCCCCCCTCATTAATATTCATGAGCAGATGACGTTCTCTAAATGGACACCCCCCCCCCCCCCATTATTACCTATGAGCCAAGAATGCCTGTGTGCATTGCTCGTGACGTCACTCCACGTCGACCAGCCCCCCTCATTAATAATCATGAACGGGTGACGTCACGCCGCATGGAGAACCCCCCCTTATTAATAATCATGAGCAGGTGACGTCACTCAACATCGAACAGCCCCCCTCATTAATAATCATGGCCAGGTGACATCCTCCAAATGGACACGCCCCCCATTATTATTACTTACTATAATGAGCCAAGAATGCTTTCGTGCATTGCTCGTGACGTCACTCGACGTCGACCAGCCCCCCTCATTAATAATCATGAGCAGGTTACATCCTCCACATGGACCCGCCCCTCATTAATAACCCTAACTACAAAGGCAGAACCCCCACGTCACAGATCTCAAAAGGACGTCATGATGAACAAGGGATTATAACCTTCAAATGAAATAGGTCTGTGTCACCGCGCCCGTACAAATTGCACACGCATTGATGCAATGAATATCACATCGCGGTCTGCTTTTCCCTTGCAAGTTCCAGATTTACTGCAATACACCCGTCCTTGGACAGGCAAAAGGCTAGTACACTATACTATTCTACACTATACAATCCACCACTAACCAATACACTACACTACTATAGTACTATATAGTACACACATACAGTTCACAAATATACACTACTATATACACTACACCTGACACCACTATACTAAATTGAAAGCTCATGTCTGTACAACTGCTTTGTGTGTTTATTTGGTTTTCCTTCTGCAGCATCTCTTCATTCCGTGGTCTGTGCAAGACTCAACCTACTCAGACTCGCCTTCCCATAACTGAAAACTGAAACAAAAATCCATTCTCTTAACATCCATTTACATATTGGAGTTACCATGACATTTCGCTCGGTGTGATTACAACAATGATCAGCAACCAGCAGCCTCATCAGGTGATTAGCCAGAATGGTGGACCGGCCTTAAATACAGCAGGGATAAATGTGATATGGTCAATTGTGAGCCTACCAGGTTCAAAGACTAGATGGGGGGGGGGGGGGTCTTAATGTAGTTTTATAAATTACAATGGATATATATTATTAGTTGCATTATTCGTAAGTAAAGATGAAGGACATTATGATTGCTGCGACACGTGCGATAAATTATCTGGATAATTTCTTGTGTCATTGAATTTTCTTGCCAAATATGACAACAAAAGTATACAGTCCCTGCCCTCCTATAAGGCAGCGGCAGTAGTAGTAAGTTACGTTCCTGAAGAACACTGCGTTATGGAATAATCGCGTTTTTTTATAAATAATATATAATTATAGTGGGTAGAGCAATGGTCCATAATAGCACGTGAGATGATGTTGCGTAATCCAGGGCCTGAACAAAGACTGGAGGTGAGTGTAGGGTAGCAGCGGTCTAGAAGCATCATCCAGCAGCATCCCAATGCCTCTGTCTAATGATGATGCTATGCCAAGGCAGTCATTACAACCTCCACTTCTACTCCCGTGACCTAGTTGCCTTCGCTCAATTGCATTATAATATATAATTATTGGGTGTAAAGCACAGTCCCTGATTTCGCATCATCTCGAGCGCTACTAAGGGCCTGAACAAAGACTGGATGCGCGTGAAGGGTAGTGTCCCAATGTGTGTGTGTGTAATTAAGTTTCTGTACAGTCCCCTACAGATTTATGCAGGGTGGGTCATAAGTAACTACCTGATATGAAAGCGGTATTTTGTTTAAAATTATTTTGTAATCTTTTTTTGCAGAAATAACAAAGTAGAAGCCTGGTGAGTTTATGGATGCAGGTCGATCTGCCACTTCTATCATTTGTGATAGCCAAGTCGCTTCTCAAAAATAAGCTACATAGCTCGGTGGGGGCTTACCTGGTAACATAAGAAACAGTTTACTTTAGGATGACCGGAGGTCACGTGATGATGGCTTATACTTCTTTACGAGGGGCTCAGGGCATGTTCAGATATTGTATTGTTAGCCATGGCCAGGAATCGTGCTGAGGTTTGTTTTATTTTTATTTTATCAGGTGTAAGACACCACTGACCTATGCAGCTCTTTTTTATATATATAAATGACCTGACCACGACAAATTATAGCAGGTCAACAAAGTGGCTGATATCATCACATTAATGTATAGCCAAGTACTCTTAAGTGCCTGATGTTGATTTTAAATGTGAAGGGATAAAATGGGAGGACCCGGAGAAAAATCCACGCAGGGCCCACCATTGGGAGAGAGAGAGAGAAGCGGACTCCAAATATACAATAACAGTCATCGTGAGGGACCGGGATCGAACCCACGACCTCCTGCATACCAGGTGAGGCAATTGAAACCTCCATGTGGATAGAGAGAAAGAGACTCGAAATATATCACAACAGGCATCTTCAGGGTCCGGGATCTAACCCACGACCTCGTGAATACCGAACTTCTTTCACACCGTAGGTAGCCAAACACTGCTAATTGCAGGTGTGGGGGGGAAGGACAACAAAACAAATACAAGCAGTTTTAAAGAAATTAGTTTGTCAATCTATCCTTTAAAGGAAGAGCAGTGTTACAGATAGGCGCATAGAACAGCATCTGAAAGCATCGTGCCATGATGCGGAGACCACCGTCTTTGTTCAACGGTTCACGGAAAGCTGCTGCCCCTGCTGCGAGGATGAGCGGAGTTTGCATGATGATGGGTTTATAGATCAGAGAGGGTCCTGTTGCATGTAATTCTCAACCCGAAAACTGGATAACAAAAAAAAAAACCTCGAGTTCAACCACTTCAAGAGAGACCTTAAAAAACGTTGAATGAAAGCAGCGTGATGAAACGTGGCAATGCAAATAAGAGATGCCATAAGCAGGATTTTGTGTTCCTTAAATGACCATTCGAATTACATTTACGTTACAATATGTAAAATATATCACACAAAACCAGAATGCTCTTACCTCGCGACGCAGGTGTGACTATCAACCTTCGACGTGAAGTGTATTGACAGTCCCCCTGCTGTGTGTATATATAGAGGAGTTTGACTTCGTGAGTCGATGGGTGTTCCTTCATAAATTTTCCAATGAGCCCATTACGCAATGTGCGCGCATTTCACGTGTCTGTGTGATTCTGATAAGATAAGAACTGGCTGCATCTGGTTAAGTCTCGTTTAGGTTTTTTTTAATCACAAATAGCTAAATATGCAGTACTGTCATTTACTGCTCATCTTTTTAAATTTATTTTATCAGGTATTAAGGACCCACTGAGCTACGCCATCACAAATAATAGCTCAGTCAAGTGATGGCTTACTGTTGCGTGGAAATTTATAGCAGCAGCCAAATACTCTCGACAAGTACCGTTGATTCTAAATGTGGAGGGGAAAAACTGGGCGGACCTGGAGAAAAATCCATGCAACCACGGGGGGGAAGAGACACACGAACCCCAAATATACAGCAGCAGGCATCAGGATTTGAATCGAACCCACGACCTCCATACCAGGGGAGGGAGTTAACATCTCACCACCGCTGGCCAAAAGGCCCCCACCTATTGTGACTTATTTCTCGCTGACTCAAGACATCCTCGCTCCCTATATAGTGGATATGCTGCTTGCTTTTCTCACGCTGGCCAGGTCATCTCTAAAGGAAATATATGGGCTACGCACAGTTTTACCAGCTAATAAGCAACCTGCCCATCGATTGTGGTGTACTTATTTGATAGAGGAAGGGGCAGGGAGTAGAAAACCTGCGGCTCCGGAGCGGCATGCAGCTTTAAGAACCACTTCGTGGCTCTCGACACTACTGTTAGACTCTCGATTATCCACGCAAACGACGGGGAAGATGCGCACAGATGATTCAAAATCGTGGATCCAAAAATATATATATTTCCCGCGGATCTCTATGCCAAAAAACACTAATACAGGTTGAAATCATGTTTTAGTCAAGACAGCTGAGTTTGTTAATGAACCAAACAATCAAGCTCTGCCCACTGTTGTAAATATATCGCAACAACTGTACTGTAGAGGTGATTGCGTGGATTTCAGATTAACCGAAGTAACATATTTGTTCAGTTTTAAGCATTGTGCGACTTGCAATCAACATTTCCAAAAAAGACAATGCATAACAGTTATTAATTCACGTCAAAATCCCTGGTGGGCGGTTAATCCACAAAACGGAAAAACCGCACGTGGAACTGTAATTGCAAAGCAAAAATAACAAAAAACCAAACCGCTCCTAATCACTTTTGATGAACAGTGAACGTTCTAATAAGCCCAATGGTGATTTGCAACGCGGCATTAGGAATAAATGTGGCGCACGTGCTCTTCTAGAAATAGCGATTACACTCACAAAAAAACGTACGGTTTGACGTTATCCATTTAAGTACCGCCATTTAGTCTCCAACATAATCAGTGTGTTGTACTAATAATGAATTGGCATGTTCTGTTTACGTGACAAACCTTACTAATTGGCAGTGCAGGGTGGTAGCGAGTGTAAAGACAGATTTATATTTACACGAACTAACCCTAAAAAACCTCTGATGGATATTAATAATATAGCAATTTGTATCTGCTGCTGCTGCTGTATTATGTACAGAGCTATATAATTTGACTTACTTTTTTTATTATTGCAGCTCTCAAAACATTGATTAGGTTTATTTCTTTGTTAAACTTAATTACAAGAAAATCGCTTGTCGCCTGACTTTTTGGGTTGCTCACCACCACTGCCCCTCTCCCTCGTCGCCCCCCCCGCTCCCCGGAGATGGCAGGTGGATTGTTTTGAGGACACTGGGCAAGAATTTGCTTCAACTGCTGCAGGGGACTGAATCAAACCAGCAGCCTCGAGATTGCAAGTGCAGTCTACTAACCTGTTGGGCTACTCCCATATCAAACCTTTGAAACAGTCCACCTCAGCAGCTTTCCTCTCTTTTTTTCCTCCTGATGACGACCGCTTGCCTTGCGATCGAAACGTCGTAGTTTTTTGTTATTTATTTTGCTATTTTTTGTTTTTTTCTTTGAACCTATCTACGTCACTTTACCAAAAGACCCAAGGAATATGAATTCCTGCAGTTATGACAGCTTTAAGTCAAGATTTGAATACACTTGCGCTGAGATGATTAGGAACAGGTGGCAGTTGGGGACTGTACAGATGATTAATTAATAATACACTTGCGTTGAGATGATTGGAAACAAGTGGCAATTGGAGACTGTAAAGATAATTAATCTATATAAATAAAAATGTAAATGTTCGTTTGTTCAAAATCTCAAATCTCCGAAAGTTCTTCACCGATTGCTTTGAAATTTTGACACAACGTTGCATTCGAATACACGCATGTTTATATATACCTACTATGTTTTTATATACCTACTATTATATAGATGTCACATCTGTGACAGGTAAAAATATGCTTTTTTTGAAAAACAGCGCCATCTGTTGGACGTAAAAGCAACACACGCTATACTAAATATTTTACGATTCCATTTCAATGTTTCAGGTTTACGATCCTTTTACGATTTACAAATTTCCAATTTTACGATTCCATTTCAATGTTTCCGATTGCATTGTTAAATTGAATTTTCATGAAGTCACGTAGAATGAGAATAAAATAATAAATTGATAAAATAAAATAACACAATAATATTTTCACGACGTTTCGGCCACAACACAAGCGGCCTTCATCAGGTGAAGGGAGCGAGACTGTCTGGTAGGACAGCGCTGGAGTGAGAGAGCCACGTTCAGATCACGGCTTTTAAGCTGTGTGAGAGGAACAAGGAATTAGCATAAAATTTAGCATTGAAAAGGCTGAATGATTAGCTTGTGACTGGTCACAGAAATAGCTATGTTAAAAGTTAAAGCATACACATCCGCAGAGGCACCCATTGTTAAAAGGAATTAGCATAGAATTTAGCATTGAAATAGCTAAATTAAGGCATTCGCTTGTAACTGCTACAGAAATAGTTACGTTGAAGTCAGAGCATACACATTCACCGAGGCACTTAGTACAAATCAAAACAGGAGAATTTAGCATTGAAATAACTAGGCGAATTTAGCATTGAAATAACTGGGTGATTTGCTGGTGACTGGTCACAGAAATGACTACACATCTGAGCTATTCACAGTACTATATAGTGAACCAATAAAAACTAAAATATAAATTACCTTCATGTTATCAATAAACTCTATATTCTCCAATCAGCTAAGCTACCAACCATAAGTCGTTATATATCACAATGCTATATGGCGAAACAATGGGTGGATTCTTACCCTCAAATTTCCGTACCACGGATAGCTACGGGCCCCGTTCAGACAGACGAGTTCGTCCATGGTCGGAACAGAGGAGGGGGAGAGAGACAGCTGCGAAGCCCTAGTATACTCCATGTTGTAAACCATACCATTAACCGTGGTGTGAGAGGTATTAAGAGGCAATGCTGGCGAAAGAGCTGCGGTCTGAAGGTCATCGTAAAATTACAATTAATTAAGAACAGAAATGATTTAACACATCTTTCCAGTGGTTACTAAGCCTGAATCCATCTTCTCGGTTGAAATTGTCTCTGTGCTTGTATATGTGAATGGCCTCATGAACGAATCTCTCATGGTAGCCAGTTGGTTTGCAAAGAACCTCCGTCTTGGAGAAGTCAATGTCATGTGAGCCCACTGAATTGTAACAGTGATCTGCCACGGCAGAGGAGTTCGTCTTACCGTGTTTCAAGTCTGCTTTATGTTCGCGGATGCGGTCCGAGATATGTCTTTTGGTTTCTCCAATGTAGCTACTACCACAGAGACACTTTAGTTTGTAAACGCCCGGGTACTGTATGTCTGGAAGAGCATCTTTTACAGATGGAACTAAATCACGGATTTTGTGTACTGTGTTGAATCGGACCTGGATCTTGTGTTTATTCAGGATTTTGGAGATATTTTTAGTGACCCCTGCAATGTAGGGTAAGGTGATGGTTTTGAGTGGCTCCACAAGAGGATCCTTCTTCATGACTGGAGTGATGGCTTTGCGGATTGTGTAGTCGGAGTAGCCATTAGCCCTGAGAGCCTGGTGTACGTGCTTGAGTTCACTGGTAATGTGTTCCTGGTCGGAAATGCATTGGGCTCTATGGTATAGAGTCTTGATGAGGCAGTTCTTCTGGGATGGATGGTGGTGGGAATCCGGTTTCAAGTAAGCATCTGTATGGGTAGCTTTCCTGTAGACAGAGTGGCTCATTGAACCATCATGTCTCCTTTTAATTAAGACATCCAGAAAGGGTAGTTTGCCATCTTTTTCGACCTCCATGGTAAATCTGATGGCTGGGTGTATGGAATTGATGTGGTCGCGGAATTGGTCTAGAGCAGGCTGGCCATGTGGCCAGATGACAAAGGTGTCATCAACGTACCTCTTCCATAAGGTCGGGCGTAGAGTGGCAGTCTGGATGGCGTCAGTTTCAAATTTTTCCATGAATACGTTGGCTACAACCGGAGATAGGGGGGAGCCCATTGGGGTGCCCTCAGTTTGTTTGTAGAAAGTTCCATTCCAGGTGAAGTATGTGTTGGTTAAGCAATGTCTCACCAGGGGGGGTACATCAGTATGCAGTCCTTGATGAACCAGGTCTTCAATGATAGCGATGGTGTCAGGTACCGGGACTTTGGTGAACAAGGACACCACAAAATCCTGAATAAACACAAGATCCAGGTCCGATTCAACACAGTACACAAAATCCGTGATTTAGTTCCATCTGTAAAAGATGCTCTTCCAGACATACAGTACCCGGGCGTTTACAAACTAAAGTGTCTCTGTGGTAGTAGCTACATTGGAGAAACCAAAAGACATATCTCGGACCGCATCCGCGAACATAAAGCAGACTTGAAACACGGTAAGACGAACTCCTCTGCCGTGGCAGATCACTGTTACAATTCAGTGGGCTCACATGACATTGACTTCTCCAAGACGGAGGTTCTTTGCAAACCAACTGGCTACCATGAGAGATTCGTTCATGAGGCCATTCACATATACAAGCACAGAGACAATTTCAACCGAGAAGATGGATTCAGGCTTAGTAACCACTGGAAAGATGTGTTAAATCATTTCTGTTCTTAATT